GGTTTCACTGATCTTTTGAGCTGTCTTTTTTTTTTTTTTTTTTCCATCTCTTTCTGCATTGGGGAGCCCCCTCCTGGGAGGCAAGGCAATTTTTTTTTTATTTATTACAAAGTTTATTTTTACATCATTTTGCACATTTTTTTTCCATCTCAATTGTAATCCCCGTGTTGAGCTGTCTTTTTATTTTCTATTGACTTCTGCTCTGATTGTTATTTCCTTCTTTCTACTAACTGTTGGGTTTTGTTTGTTCTTTTACTAGCTTCTGCAGTTATACGATTGCTTATCTGATATTTTAAAATATTTATTTATTTATTTATGCAGAAAATATCTGGGGTACAGGACAGAGGCGCAGGGGCCATGAGAGGATTCACCAGAGACAGAGTGGGGAGCAGAATAGGCACATTGACTGAAATACACTGCTGTGGTGAGAAGCAGGCAAAAACAGGAGAGATCTGCTCAAACTCTTTCAATGGCTGCAGAAGCTTTATTGTGCTGCACTTTAACCCCACCAGGGGTGCTCCAACCACCAACTTTTGGCTTTTGTGGATTTCTGGGCTTCCATAATTGTGTGAGCCAATTTATATAATTAATATCTCTCTCTCGCTCGCTCTCTTCTCTCTTTTCTATCTCCTATTCTGTTTTTATAGATATTATACAGCCAGTGTACACCATTATCTGCATTTAGCTCTCAAATAGACTACCACAAACTGCATGATAGACCAAGACCCCAAGACTGAGAACAGAAAAAAAATGTGTTATCTACAGAAAAGACCCAGTGGAAACTCTCTTTTTATTATTATTATAGTAGTTTATTTTTACATCATTTTGTACATTTTTTTTCCATCTCAATTGTAATCCCTGTGGGTATCCCATCACCAAGTCACCCATGTGCCATCACCATAGTCCAACACACTTCCCTCCCCCCACTGTTTTTGATCCCATTCCCTACTTCACTCCCATAAAATGTCTCTGGTATATGGCTATTCATTACTATTATTATTTTCTCATCTGGTCCATTATACTCCTGCTATGAGCAAAACTATCCAGTATTTTTCTTTTTCTTTCTGGCTATCTCACTAAGCCTGATCTTTTCCAGCTCCATCCATGTTGCTGAAAAAGACATGTGTTTCTTTCTTTTTTTTTTGGTTGCTGAGTAATATTCCATTGTATATATGTACCACATCTTTTTAATCTAGTCATCTACATTTGGGCATTTGGGCTGCTTCCATGTCTTTCCAATTGTGAATAAAGCAGCAATAAACATGGGAGTGCAG